TATTTAAAATATATATCTCATGTTTTTGACATACGTATGCAATTTTAAACTAAAACCTGATCATCCTAATTTATGAGGAACCTATGATTCTAAATATGGCGTATTATAGAGCTATTTTTAGAAAAGTAAAGGAGAAATCTCATCTGAACAATAATCCTATTAATGTTATGATAAGCATGTCCAATGATAGCTTAATATATTTGCATTTATTCACTCATTTACCAAACATTGATTAAGGTCAGAAATAAGGCTAGTCACTGGGGACATAATTATGAGCAGTGACTATTTCCATCTCTCAGCCTACAGAAGACTTTTAGTCAAAGGTCTCAATGTATCCCAAAATAACATTTAAAATAATTTTTAAAAAGGTCCAAGTGTGAATATATGTTAAATAGAGCCTAAAGTGTTTGCTTGTTTGTATAATCAGGAGTAAAAAAAAGCATGCCATCATATTTCCTTTTGTCTCTCTCAGAGCTTGGAATCGTTCTTATAGATATGGATTCTCCATATGGCAGGAAAAATAGCAGCCAGAAGCCTATTAACTAAACACTCTCTTATATTAACAATTCTGCTTTCTCCCCACTCCGCTTCTTCCTGAAAAAGAGATTATCTCTCTACCAGTGTCCTTCTTTCAGTTTTTGGTCTTGGCTTCATCTTTTTAACCAATGATGCAGAAAGACGTTATACATGAGGCTCGAGTCACGTACCACTTCCTCCCAGGATTCACTAACAATCAGATGAATTAGGCAAGAGCAGTTAACAGTCTCTTCATAATGATATTATGGGAGCCAGAGGTTTTCCACTGTATATAAAAGAGATACTAAGAAGATAATGTTTCTACTCTATTTGCTACTATACAAAAAATATAGATAGACGTGTATTTCCGTACATAAAACTCCATTACTATATCACACTGCATTTGCCTCATGTAACTACCAGAATTACAACACAAATGCTGTTACCTTCTGCCAAAAAAAGGGAAATTTCTTGAAATGCAAAGCCTCACTCACTTACTACTTCCAGCTTCAAGTGTGGGAGCTCTGCGTGATATATACTGTTCTCGAATCTCCTGCACCTTGGTCATTATGTGTATCTCCATTATCCAGAAACCCATGCCAAAATGTTTTGTAACTCCCTGACCCAAACTTTAGCTTCACTGGAAAGTCCCCAGGACATTTGATTATCAGATCTCCAGTCCAACCTGGGATAGCTGGGGGCAGATACAATGAGGTCTCTTCATAAAGACACCAATAGCTGTCAGAAGGGCCAACCTGGACTGAAGTCTGTCCTTTTCATCCAAAACCTATTGAAGCCTGCATAAAGAAATTAACATATTCGTACCCTTCACATTTTCTATAAAGTCTCCTAAATACATATACTTCGGAGGATGTGGCCTGAACTATAAAATAAAGCACAGTATAATTTTACAAACTTTTAATTATCATGCTAATCCATTTGTAAACTTGCATGCCACCGCAGTAATGGTTCTTGCTACATTTTGTTCCATGTCCATTTATTTCACTTCACTCTGGTTAATTGTTTCTGTTTGTCAGGGCACACAATTTGTTGAAAACCATAGAAATCCAACTCTAGTTAACCTGATTGAAAAGGAAACATTGTATTTTACAAAATTGTGAAGTCCAAAGAAGAGTATAGATTCAAGAATGGCTGGATGTGGCAGTACAGACAATGGCAATTAGGCTTTATCATCTGGCTCTTCTTACCGTCACTTGGCTTTATTTTCCTGTAGATTCTCACCAGCCAGAAGGCAAGACTGACAACAGAGCAAAATGACATTATTCCTCATCCAGCTATTCCAGAAAGAGAAAATTACTCTTTCCTAGCATCCAGATATCAATATCAGGGCAATCAAACAGTGAGTTCAAACACTCCAGGCTGCACAGAGCATGATTCCCCACTCTTGGTTCATATACTGCATGATGCAACAAAAAAAAAGATGGGATGATGAAACTGACGGGCCCAAAACAACTAGTTAGGATGGAAAAGAGTGGGTAAATAGTAGAAAAACAAGATATTGGGAGGGAAAAAGGCATAAATAGAAACAAAGAAGCATAATTTAATATTCACCTTGAAATAAACCAAATTTATGATAGAGGTATAATCCTATGTATATTATAAAGTCATAACTAATACAGTATATAAAATTAATCTTAAAGATAAATATGATTTTGCCAGAAAAAGAAGAAAGGTGAGTGAGGCAGAGATTTAATTCCTAAGGAAAATGTGTATATGAAACACAGAAGAATGAATGAGTGCAGTTTATCAGGGAATATGGAGTAGCTTTGTGAGGCAGCGGTAGGATGAAGAGAGAGAATGTAGTGGTGGCAGCTTTACTTAAGCCTGGAAAGTTCTTCAATGCACTGTGATTTAAGAATCTGAGATTTCATGATGAATAACGACTGATTTCTCCTGCTACCTAGGTGTTCAAATTTTAGTTGAAGATGAGCATGCTCGACTATATAATTATGGTGTGTTCTAAGCGCTATATTGGAGATATATAAAACGACATTTATGAGTCATAGTTGAAGATATAGAGCTCCAAAAAAATTTCAAATTTAGAAAGCAATCACAGAAAACAAAAGTTATAGGAAATTATTCCATGTGTAGTTTCATAATTTCATTAAAAACATCTGCTAAATGACCAATATTCTATCAAAAGTTTCTATTAGAAAATAACTTAACAATCTGCACGTGAAAGTGAAGTTTATTCTTCACCTTACTCTTTCTGAGTTTCTTTTTTATTTTATATTTAACTTTTGGTAACTGAGTTTGGTTTCACGCAGTTAATTTTAGGCCATGCAATGAAGACATGACTCTCTGATCAGAAATAGAATTTAACAAAGATGTGTGAGGAAAAAAATTATAAGCTTGACTGAACTCACATTGTTGAAAGCCTTTTGCTAATGGAATTTCAGACATTCTTGTTTGCTTATTTGTTTGAATCAATCTTTCCATGGTAAAATATAAGGGTACTTAACATAGGTATTTCTCTCCAGCAAGAGTAGAAGGAGGGCTAATCCTTTAAAAAACAGAAACAGAGTACAAACATTTCACTGCTACTTTCTATAAAATTTGAATATGATTTTCAATATTTGTATGACAAAATGTTTCTTGAAATAAAAAAGGGAAAGCTTAAGGAAATGGAGATCTAAAAATCAATAAAGCCAATTATACATTTTTTGAGATTTTTTTAATTGATGTTTTAAGCTTTGAAGTCAGAGAAATCTTTTTGACCCCGAACCCTTACACTGTCTACTGTGCTATAATGAGCAAAATACTTCACCTCTGTGGGTCTCAAGCTCCTCACGTGTAAAATTTAGAAAATAGCAACTCTCTTCCAGGTCATTGTGAAAACAAAATAACTCATACGTTGGATCAACATTATTTTTCAGTTGTTTTTCAAATTGAACGAAAGATAAATGTCTCCTATAAAACACTCATGTTTTTATCATAATATATAGTTTCTTCCCAGAAACAGTCACAGTTAAAAATTATTAAAAATAAAACCCAGAAATGTTTAACTAGTTAATAGATTTATTTGTATTAGGAGGATAGAAAAGAATAAGACCATTCCTTGCTTTTAAGTGACAAAATTCAGTGAGGAAAACAGAACACAAAAACAGGCACAAAAAGTAACAACAGGACATAGAAAAAGAAAAGTCATGGGGACAATGCAAATTATTACATAATTACAAGGTAGCTTTAATGATGGGTAGTGGTATAGGACTTCAGAAAGTCTCTTTGATTGTTAGAGGAATGATGAGTGCTATCACATAGGAGGGACGCCTATAAAAGAGGCATTTGAATATTTATAGTGTTTATTTGGGATATGTTTATAAATATAAAAATGTCAGTATTCAATAGCAGACACTGTTTTTGTTTACATTTGAAATAACATTGAAAAATGATACTTTGCTTACATTTAATAATAAAATTAAAATATCTGACATTTAGTGATATACACACCAGGAATTATTCTAAGTGCTTTACATAAATTACTTTATTTAATGTTCACAACTACCCTTTGATTTGGATTGTCTTATTATCCCTATTTCACAAAAAAATACTAAACCCAGAAAGTTAAATAAACAAGCTCACAGAGCTAGGAAACAGTAAAGGCACTCATAAATACTATCAAGGGGAGGGATGTACCATGACTAGCGAATCGTCTGTACATGTAATTACCGAGATGAGAGTACAGATGTACTATTTATGCCCCCATTTTTTCCGTGGAGTTATGAACACTCACGCATGAGTGAGTTAAGGGAGAATTATTGAAGAAAATTGATGTCAGTTCTTTAGTTCTTTTTTTTTTTTCACCACAAAACACATCCAGCAAGTTCCCTTGGGAGAGAGACTTTCTCTACATTTGTCAATATTTGTCAATATTCCAGTTATAACATAATGCCTGGCATCTAGGACTGTGCAAGAAGTGTTTGTTAATTGAATAAAGAGCTTTCTTCAGGGGCCGGCCCGGTGGCACAGCGGTTAAGTTCGCACGTTCCACTTCTTGGTGGCCTGGGGTTCGCCGGTTCAGATCCCGGGTAGGGACATGGCGCACCGCTTGGCAAAAGCCATAATGTGGTAGGCGTCCCACATACAAAGTAGAGGAAGATGGGCATGATGTTAGCTCAGGGCCAGGCTTCCTCAGCAAAAAGAGGAGGACTGGCAGTAGTTAGCTCAGGGCTAACCTTCCTCGGGGCCGGGGGGAGTAAAGAGCTTTCTTCAAGGCAACACTACCAAGAAGTCCATAAGGGCTAAACACATTAGCATTTGCTGATTACCTAGTTGATAGATACACCAAAAATACACACACAGACACACACATACATGCACACAGAGATGGATAAACTACTGCTTTGAGTAAAGTGAAAAAGAAAAAAAATATTTCAGGTTTTTTGTATAAAACATGAATTGTAATCTTAAATATACTAATTAGAAAAAATATTAATAGCCTATTTTATCATGATTTCTATCAGACTTGAGAGTTGGAGAGCTTGCCCCTGACCTCTGTCTATCATCATAAAGAATACACCATAAGAAGACGTAGTTCAGGAAATGAAACTAGAGGCAAGTCATTGCAAGAAGTTTATTCTATTCTGTGGATTGGGTTTCCTGGCTTTATCAATCATTTGAAAGTAGTTACAAAATTTAAAGAAAACGTTAATAACAGATTAAAATTGTTGTGTATAGCTCGTTCTTAATTTTGACATTGATCTATCTATATATCTATCTATGATTTTAAAAATAATATAAAACATTTCCACCCTAAGATGTTGTTGATATCTTAACATAGTTTAAAAGGTATTACAAGTTTATTTGTCTCCAGCCCCACATTTTTCAAATACATTTTGAAAGAAAGGTAAGGAATCATTTTTCCCACATGACATTGCCTTTAAGGCTTATGATTAAATAGTCAGCACCATTTCTTTATTGAAGGTTTTCAGGTAAGATAAAAGAAAAAACTTAAATCCTTCAAGGGTCTAAAAATCGATGCTGCTCACCATCCGAAATGGTGACTCATTCTGGTAATTACTTGTAAAATATCTTTTTTCAGGGCTGCCACACTTTTCAACTTTCTGTCTATTAAGCATTACTTCAGAAAGATTCGGTCATGTCAGTGAAAAACAATTCTGAAATCACGCAATTACCGAACAGCTCAAGGCATATCATCAACGTACTTGAAAACAAAGGATTTTCTACTGGCAGTGTGCTTTGCTGTGGCATCGATGTATCTTCTAAGTTGCAGTCACCCTCCATAGGGCTATTCACGAATATGATACATCTTAAACTCTGTAAGTCTTAAATAGGGATGTGGGCTTCTCCAAACTTGATTAATCACAGGGATGTAAAATACTAGATATTCAAAAACATCTCGAATAACTTAAGAACGTGGTCCTCCAGCCTTGTTTCAGGACACTCATATCTTCCAGTCCCTGCTCTGTTCAATAGCAATCCCTGAGTTATGTGATGAAAGAAAGCATGTCTGTCACGCTTTGCAACATTTACGCCACATGTTACTTGGCAATATGGACATTCAATAAATATTTGATTAATTAAATGAATTTGTTTTTGTTATTGAAATCTGACATATTGTCCTTCGCCTGGTGCTTTTCAAGTGCTTCCTGAAGCAGGGCTGATGGAGAAAATATTAAGCATATGTAACTGCAAGGACACTGACCAATCAAATAGAGTACTGGCCTACTCAGAAGCACGTAGTCCAATACAGCAAACTGTTACCGCCTATAAACATAGGTTCTTTACCAGCACACAAGAGGGACGAGATAAAAATTAGAAGGCCAGTCTTATGGCAAGAAAAGGTTGTTATTTTGGATAACATCAGCCGAGAGATGAGAGTGAGCCCTAAATTTGTTTCATTTCCTCTGTCTCCCCAAAAGAGGGCAGGCGAAGAGTTTTAAAGGTTTGTGAGGAATGTGGCTCCTTGTAGAGAGGCAGGGGGTCAGTGGCCTTGCTGGTCAGAGCTTTCCCACCAGCCTGCATTCAGCCCTGGGAGGAGCAGATGATGAGGAATCCAGGTGGCTGTCCTTGTCTGTGTCTGTCTCCATGGTGGATAGTGGATTCCCGAGCCAGGGAGCCAGGGAGTAAGCAGGGAAAGAGTGCTTTGGTTTTAACCTCGTATATGCTGGGTTTAATGTAGGAGAACGAATACCAGGACCGGCATCAAAACCAGTCCACATCAGCTGACTCTCAGACAACTTCGTTTACTACTTTTGCATGTTAACTTCACCCTACTTTGCTTGTCTATCCTATATTCATGTTTTATGTCTAAGTTTAGCTCTGTCTTTGCATTTACTTCTAATATATTCCTTGTCCTCTGATCATGTGAGATGTTACTTATTTTGTTCACGTATCATTTTCAACTGTTCTATTGAGGTATAAATGACATGCAGTAAACTACACATATTTAAAATGGAAAATTGGATAAGTTTTGACACAATATATGTACAACCAGAAACCATCACCACAAACAAGATAAAAAGACATTTCTTTCACCTTCCAAAGTTTCCTGGAACCCATTTATCCTGCTTTCTTCTCAGCTATCCTGAACCCCCACAAGGCACCCTCTGAGCTGCTTTTGTGACTATAGGTTACACTGAATTTTCTAGTAGTTTAAATAATTGAATTCTACACCTTGTACACGTTTTGTCTGGCATCTTTCACTCTGTATACTTATTTTGAAATTTATTCATGTTGTGTACATTCATTTTTATAGCTGAATAATATTTCATTGTATAGATATACCTCAGTTTTAATCCATTTATCTGTCCATGAATATCTGGATTTGATTTGTTTGTTTATAACAGATATAGCTGCTATGAACATTCCTGTATGTTTTCTTTTCTCTTGGATAAGTACCTAGGAATGGAATGGTTCCTATACATGGTAAGCGCATGTTTAACTTTTTAAGAAGCTGACAAACTGTTTTCCCAAGTGGTTCTACCATTTTACATTTCCGCTGGCAGTGGATGAGACATCTAGACCATCTACTATCTCAACAACACTTTTTATGATTTAGTTTAATTTTAGCCACTCTAATAGGCAAATAATGGTGTCTCCTTGTGGTTGTAATTTGTATTTCCTCAAGGACTAATGATATTGCATATCTCTTCATTTACTTATCACTTGTATATTTTCTTTTGTGAAATAGTTGTTCAAATATTTTGCCCATTTTATATTGGGCTGTTTAGTTTTCTTATTATTGATTGCTGAGTTTCATTACGTATTCTGAATACAACCTCCCTCTCAGATATATGAATTGCAATCAGATATATGAATTGCAATCAGATATATGAATGTACTCCAGTCTGCGGTTTGTCTTTTTATCTTCCTAATAGTGTCTTTCAGAGAACAGAAGTTTGTTATTTTTACTTTCATAAATTCCAATTTAGAATTTTTCTTTTATAACTTATGTTTTTGTTATATCTAAAAATTATTTGTCTAACTCAATGTCACAAAGATTGTCTTCTATGCTTACTTCTGAAATTTTCCTTTATTTTACTTTGCTTTCTTTTGTTTTAAGTCTATAAGACATTTTGAATTAATTTTTTGTAAATGGTTCAAGGTATGGATACAAGTTTATTTTTTATATATGGAAATCCAATTGTTTCAGCAACACTTGTTCGAAAGACTATTCTTTCTTCACTGAATTGCCTTTGGCTACTTTTCAAACATCCGTTGTCCATATACATGCATTTATATTCACAGACCCATGCTATAGACTGAATGTTTGTGTCTTCTAAATTCATATTTTGAAACCCAATCTCCGCTGTGATGGTATTTGGAAGTGAGGCTTTGAGGAGTTGATTTGTTCTTGAGAGTGGAAACTTTATTACTGGGATTGTAAAAGAGACCCCAGAGATCCCACAACTCTTCCACCATGTCAGGTTATAGGAACAAGACTGCCTTCTATGAACCAGGAAGCAAGCTCTCAGCAAACACCTAATCTGCCAGCACCTTGATCTTGTACTTCGCAGCCTCCTGAACCAGAAGAAATAAATTTCTGTTGTTTATATGCTACCTAGTTTACGGTATTTTTGTTATAGCAGCTTGAATAGACTAAGACAACTCTATTGTGATTTGTAATAAGAAATATGTATTTGGTCATTGTCCTTGTGTCTGGCACAGAGCTCCAAAACCTTTGGATGAAAGCTGCAAAGATGTTATGTTAATGAGGTGAATTTTGACCCACACTGAAGGATGGGGGCTGGTTGCCAGAGGAACTAACCATGTGATTAGAAGGTTGAAACTTTTAGACCCATGCCCCCAGACTTCCAGGAAAGGGAGAGGGGCTGGAGGTTGAATTAATTACCAATGGCAGATGATTTAATCAATCATGCCTATGTAATAAAGCCTCTGTAAAAACACAAAAGGGTTGGTGAACACGTGGAGATCTCTCTGGGAGAGAGCATGGAAGCTCTGCCCCCTTTCCATATATCTTACCCTAGGCATCTCGTCCATCTGGCTGTTCTTGAGTTATATCCTTTTATAAGAAACTGATAATCTAGTAAGTGAATATAGGTGATAGCCCGGGCTTGTGAGTGGCATCTAAACTGTGTGTGGAGTGTGCAGCCTTGTGGGACTGAGCACTTTAACCTGTGGAATCTGATGCCATCTCCAGGTAGATAGCGTGAGAATTGAGCTGAATTGTAGGGCACTCACCTGGTGTTGAAAACTGCTTGTTGGTATGTGGAAAAATCTCCCACCCACACATTGAAATTGGTGGCCAGAACCTTTTACCTCTTTTCGGTTCCGTTTTTCTATTTGTCTACCATGATTGACTGAGTTTTGTAAGGAGCTTGATTACTAAAGTTTCATTACACGTCTTGAAATGAAGTAGTAATAGATCGTCATCTTTGTGGCTTTTCAGAGTTGTTTTGGCTCTTCCGGGTTCTTTGAATTTCCAAATTAATTTTAGAATTAGCTTGTCAATTTCATCAACAATGCCTGCTGAAAGTTTAATTTGTATTTTGTTGAATCTGTGGATCAACAAACTACAGCCCTCTAGCCAAACTATCTCAGTTGCCTGTTTTTGTAAGTAAAGTTTCATTGAAGTACTGCCATGACAATCACTTACATGTTGTCTGTGACTATTTCATTGCTACTGAGGCAGAGACGAATTATGATAGAGATTCTATAATTGGCAAAACCCGAAATATTTACTCTTTGAACTTATACAGAAAAGTTTACTGACCTCTGCTAAAGCATAATTTGGAGGGAAGTGGTGTCTTTACAACATTGTCTTCCAACACATGAACAAGGCATATCTCTCCATTTATTTACGTCTTTCATTTTTCTCAGTAATATTTTGTACTTTTCAGTGTTGCACATATTAAATAAAATTTGTTCATAATGTTTGCATCTATTTTCTGTCAGTTACTAATCTGTAGTTTTCTTTTCCTGTAAAATCTTTGTCTGATTTTGGTGTCAGAGTGATGCTGGCCTCATAGAACATTCTATAAATGTCAATTCGGTACTGTTGGTTCATGATGCTCAGTACTTCTGTCTCCTTGCTAATTTTCTGTCTACCAGTTTTGTTCACTAATACTAGAAAT